GGCTTATTAGCCTGCGGATTTTGCTATGTAAAATTCCGTCCCAAGCTGATTTTGGCTTAATAGGCGGCTGGGCCTATTAACCGTGGGCTAAATAACCGGCGACTACTGTACTCCGAGTTCTTTGTAAGTGAATGTAGTTAGTGAACCTGCCACTTTGAAATTTTATAGTCGGATGCATTGGTCAAGGATACTCTCGGTCGCAGTAAGGTAGCAGTTTCGTGAATTTTCGGAGGGCCATATATTTTGGCAATTTTTGCTGATTTTTTACATGTTTTAGTTAAATATTTGGGGACTGAACGCTGAACTGCATGTGTGATTATGTCAGCTTCCGACAATTTCTTCTAATATCCTGCTTTTTAAGAACTGATATTTACTTTTAGCCAAAAGAAACTTCTAATGAGGACCCAGTCTCCTAAAAACTGGATAAAAGAAGGACAAAGCTGTGCCTTCGTTCTCTTAAGTTCAATTTATTTTCTGCAATAATTTACTTCAAAGAAAAAATGCACTACTTCAACTCTGCTTTTATTGGTATAGTTTACACAATTGGCTAGAAGGGTGCCCGAAAAATTAGATTAAATATTCTGGGAGTATGTTTTCTTTCATGTTTCCTCTAATTCTGAAATTAAGAAAATTTCTTTAGTTATCTTAAAGTCCCGAAACCAGTTCAAGGCAAACAGCATGCGTAATTAGCCACTAAATAGTCTGAGCCCAAAAGTTGTTCCTAAGCAAAATCGATTTTCTTTTGATATTTCATTGTGTTCTGAAAGCAGAAGAATACATTCGAATGGCATATGAAAACTGAACTCAAGTCATATGTTTTTTTTTTCAACCAACAAAGTCACTTATATTTTCCGGGCACAGTCTTAATAGACCTAGTGAATGCTGCATCAGTTCGAAGGAGGGAAGAAGGCATCAGTTGCTGTCAGTGGCCATTGCGCGTGAAACAGGAGCCCAGTAACCATTAATTGGATGATTCAAATTTGTAGTTTCAAGATATACTCTAAAGAATGGTGCACTGAATAATTTAATGATAGCTGCGCCTTCACCTTAACAATCAAATGAATTACATAAGTAGGGTTAAATCCTCAACGAAGTTGTAATCTCTTGTGGCTTTATCGGGACTCCTTTCGACATTTATTCCTGGTCACTATGCTGTGCAGGAGGACGAGCATTTCCCATAGCCCTGCCGATGCACACACAAACCTCCAACGTAATAGGTGGTTCACTCGGTATTTCGGCTGCGGCCGACGCTGGAGAAAAAAATGCATTTTACGAAGGCCGCGGCAGATCCGTGGCAGACGTTTGGCTGTCTCCCTGATCCTTATAACGTCCGCATTTATTATCTGTTTGGAAATTTATGGTCTTAATGTTTAAGCCGCAGTCCTAGTCAGCAGATGTTAACCTGCTTCCGGCATGAAGGTTTGTCTCAATGGACTGGCGATAGAAATTTCTGACCACAGGAGCCCAGACTGTGGCGTCCAGGCCACCCGGTTATCACTCAGCATCATGCGCAATGATACGTGTGCGCAAATGCAGGACATGATTGATGTGCACAAAGAAACTGTGGGAACTCTGATTAGTACTGCAGGGCTGGGTACTTGTTGGGACAGAGTTGTTAGCTGGAGTTGGAACCGAGCAAGACTGTGAGAGCAGAATTTGGCAAGATTTATCCGCAGATTTTCGCATTCACCGCAACGCTCTGCCTCAGCAACAGGCCTACTGACCAATGGACTATTGGAAGAAGGTAAAGAGAACACCAGCAGCTTGCAAAGGGCAGGTTTTATCCACTACAATTCGCTCTTGATGAATTTACAGTGCCTGCATGCACATCCAGGCAAGGAATGCCTATGCGACCCGCCATCGAATGTTAGCCCTAAGGAGCACAATGGATAGGATCAGAATCAGAGTTAGGGTTATGTTGGCGCGGATAGGTGGGCACATAATACGTTCTAAACCAGCGCTCATATTTAGCTCACTTGAAGAATGATGGTGGGTATATAAATTCATTTTTTATTACCAGTGTGCTACTGCCCTTTTCCTGTTCTTTAAACTGCCCTATCCATATTGCCAACTTTCCTGCATAACACGCCTATCTACAGATTGTGCTCGTTATAAGGGTCGTACAGCCATTCCTCGCCCATATTCACTTTCGAGTCTCGGGCAGTTGTCGCTAACTCACAGGTCTGACCTTCATCGACATTCGTTAAGACAGTTGTCTAGGTCAAGTGAGGGTTAGGATGACTTGGCCGGCCGTCTACACGGGACGCGGGAACAGGAATCGCCCACAATGCATGTGGCTTTCAGCCATATTCCGAGAAAATTTGTTCCAGGATTAAGGTGAGAGTTGAGATCAAATTTAGGGATAGGTTTGAGGTTGGGATTAAGGATAAAGTTGGAATTAGGATTAGGATTATATCAAGGGTTAAGATTAGGGCTTGTGTTAACTGTGGGGTGTAGGCTTACGCTAGGCCTAGGGTTAATATTAAGAGAGCAGATTAGGTTAGCATTAGATTAAGGACATGGGAATAGTAACGCTCCCTGAAATTTATCGCAAGGCCACCTATTTTAAGTTGGTGGAGCGTTCCTGCTCCCGTACACGTCCATAAAAGCCATCGATACCGCATAAAGTTATCAGTGAGGCATGAGCAACTATAAAAATTCGAGGAGACTGCGACGTAGTTAACTGGCATTCACTTATTGACAACTGTAGCAACTGTAGTGAGTATTATACCAACTAAAACTGCTATCGCCTCGTTGAGTAAGATCTAACTTACATGAGACTCCGAAATTCATGCGAAACAATTAGGCTTTGTGACCGGCCGAGGCTACGTCTACAAGAGCTTCATACCTTACGCTATCCTGGAGCATGCTAACTATTATTCTCGTTGAATGTTTTGTTGATTTTTCAGTTGGTGTTGCTTCCGGCTGGAACTGAAATGAAAGAAATGGACAAGTTGGAGTCAAACTCCATCCCCGTCTATTGCCAAAAGGTCTACTGCCGAAATCCCGACTACCCTCAGTACTGAGTGACCAACATGGGAAGGTTAATTCACTTAGTTTGCAAAGGGCCAGGTTTTATAGATGTGCCTTCAAAGGCGCGTAAGTGGATTTGTCCTGGCGAGACAACCACCTCACAATTCTGCCTTTATTTTATCGTTGCGATACAAATGCCAACTTAGTTGGAATGTACGCAGACTGAAAATAGTATCGTGCAGGGTCCCAATACTTTATATTTTCCGCCTTATTCGATGACTTGCAGTTAGTTAAAAAGATATTTTTTGGCGTACTTAGAATAGATCTTCGTCCAAGCAGCCAGTTAAAAAATTAACGCCGGACCGATAAAGGAACTGTGCTGTTTCTTAAATTCGATAAGATCCGATCCGGAAGAAAGCATTCTTCTCATCGGAGTTCCCATGAACATCCTAGAAGACCCTACCCTACCGTACAAAAATCGGTCCCGGACAGACGTTCGTAACGTGGTCCTGTCTACTTCTGATGTAGGCAGTATACCTTCCCCCTCGTCTGTTTGATAGGATCTTTACCACAACAAGTCAAATCAGATGGCTAGACGGTGTCCACTCCCTGTGCTGTTAGTGATTTAAGCAAGGTATTCTTTGCCGCTTCGGGCATGCCCCACATGACCTTAGCAAAGAGCTCAGCACAGTAGCCGTGCTCAGTCCACCCCAGTTGGATAAAGGCGCAGATTTGGTCAACATCGTTCGTCGTCTCTAACAGTTGTCTCAGAAACAGGACTTTGTCATCTCGCCGGGCTTTTGGTGTGCGATTTTCTACGCCATCCACCGAACTAGATGAAGAATTTTGCAAATCCCGGGCTGGCATTTAAGCAGCACCGATAACTTTTCAGGGACGTCACATCAAAGGTCAGATTAATCATTATAACGGCCGCCTATGGAACACCAGATTTGACATATTTGTCTGAAGTACTGTCTGTAAGGTGTACAAGAAGCCGTGAATTAAACTTCCGCGGAGTTTGGTGTTTTAACTTAGAATTAACTGCTCATCTAGCGAGTAATATCAAACTTAAAATTGACAGCGTTTTTAAAGGTTTGTTCCCACAAAAGAACCCAAAAAGGTGCACTACAGACCGATAGAGTGAAAGCCAATGTAATTCTAAGGCACTCTAGCGAAATTAGAGATCAGAAAAAGCAATATTTGGAAACATATGCTAGTGAGTTGCGATTGTCTCGGTTTGATTGAAGGGGCGCACTGTTCAGCCTCCGATGTTAAACGACGGCACAGGCTGTTAGAAGAGTCAAATTTCAAAGAATTGTTTTCAATGACTGGTTCGATTATTCGGCCTGGGAATCACACTTTTATGCTCTATTTGGACGTCTATATCAAAAGGAAAAGTAATGGGACCTTTCGTCCTAAGCAAATTAAACCTGATGCATTTGCAAAGCAGAACGTTTGACTAATTCACCTGTTTTCCGCAAAATTCTCCTACTGACTTACTTTCTTTTAATGTACTACACAGCGTAGCAAAAATTGACGACCATTACCGATCTCTGAACCCCAAAATGCAAACACATGTGCAGGTGGGCAAAACTGAATACTGCTAGTTTATTTAGGGATAAGGAGTCTCGTTAATAGGAAAACGATCTGCACTAGAAACGCACTTAAAGCCCTAAGTACGCGACTGCATACCAACGGGCAGTCAATAACCAGGACGTATTCCCAAAAACAGTTAGGGTGAATGGCACGGCATTTTCTATTTATTTGACCCGTGGCCCGTCGAGTCAGGTGAGCAAACTTCAATCCTATAAGCTTTCGCCTTTGTTATTGGATATTAAAACTTCCAGTGAACGTTTCTAGGAATTTCACTCAGTCAGCACCCGATATTTAAAAATGGTCAGCCCTTAGAATCATCATCTCCAGTCAGGAGAAGTGCTAACTGACCATTCAGTGAATAGTTTGTGTACAGAAACGTGAAAAACTCCAACCGGTATTGATGAAAAAACGAAAAACGACAAAGATAGTTTAAATAGTGCACCTAATATACCCCTAGTTCCAACATTTTGTCCTACGGAAACGGCGGTTTTAGGGGTTTTGGGGGTGGGGAAATAGGGTAGCCATTGAAGAAAATTTGTACAAGTAAGTGCAAAGTGGGAAAATGTAGTTGAATTTGTTTCCCGCGACCGCTGGGAGTAAGTTAATCCGCATGACTGTTAGAATCGTACCTTGCTTGAAGGAGGAACAGTTAATACAACTTTATTGGATCACAATTTCACATCTAAGCTGGCCATTTCTCGAGACCCATTTGGTTTCGTGATAAATCAATGAAGCTGTTTTATTGTGAGATTTGAGATTATGCACCAAACTGTTTACTTTATTTTTAAATATCCATGTAAACATTCAAGGGCTTGGGCCCAGAAAACGTATGCTTCCAATTATTAATCTTCAGGTCTCTACAGTGAGTAGGCTATGGTAGCAAACTTTTAAACAACCAATTAACACTAAGTGTGGGGGAGAAGGTTGAGGGCGTTCAGACGTCAATGGTTGCCGTCTACTTCCGTCAGGCGCCTAGAGGATGAGGGGAAAGAAGAAGAAGAAGAAGAAGAAGAAGAAGAAGAGGAGGAGGAGGAGGAGGAGGAAAGAGGGGTCTGAAAATTGCGTCTCTATCTCGTCTTTTTAGCTGGACGCAACAGGTATGAATACACATACTGAATTCATTTTCGGCCAAGGGAGCCTGTAGGAACGTTCTATGCGAAATTAAGGTTGGGTTTGCTAACCGTATGGTGACTGCCTCTACCATCGCAAGCATTCACTGACACAGGAACTCCGAATGTTTCACCGACATTTTAGAGATGATTAGGAATGATTAGTTAATGTCTACCCGGCGCCCACTGTCAACCAGGCAACCCATAATTGCGCTAGAGATGGGCTTTTCCATGGCTTGATTGAGCCAGGCAGGATGATGTTCTCGCATCCGTTTGGATAGGTGCCTAGTTGTTCGACCCATATAACTTGCTCCTGTGGATCAAGTGAAGGCATAGATGCCAACTGATGGGGTCTGGAAGGTCATTCTATCTTTATCTCTAAGACGAAGAAGCGGAGTGCTCGAGGAAACTAGCTTTAAAGTTGCAAAAATTTCTATCAGAGAGTTCAGAGGAGTAGTTGGTGAACATAAGTAGGCCTTCGATAAATTTGATAAAGTCTCATAGGGTTTGGTAGAGCCAGTCTAGGAGAGGAGGGAAGAGAGGGGAGGAGAAGGAGACAAAGAGAGGGCGGACGAGTACATGCAGCCAAATGGCTGTGGGCCATGCCAGACATGGAGCTTTTAGAAAGTTTTTTGCGCACAAAACGCCAGCTTCTTCAGTCCGATAGCGGTCGCTTCTGCTGTTGATAGCCGGCGCTGATTCAGGGACTTGGGATAGTTTGGTGGGACCTTATAAATCACCTTGGAGGCTTCGTTGGGGTCCACACGATGTCCGGAATCAACGATGTGGGCGAGAATTGCGCTGTCTATGATCCTGATTTCACCTTTGCTCAGCCAGGCCGAGAGGTGCTCCCGTATTCCCTTGGACAAGCGCCGACTCGTGCGACCGATAAAGCCTGCTCTACAGGAGCAAGTAAATAAGTAGATGCACATGGACGTGGTCTGAGCTGGCAATCCATCCTTAATTTCCCTGTGTAGGGCCGGTTTGGTTGAGAATGATAACCGAACTCGCTTGTAAGAAAAGACGAACATTATTGACTGCTTATTTAACTTGTACTCCGTTTTCGTATAAATTTAATGGCTCGATGGGAATTTATCGAAAGCCTACGTATGCTCACCAAGTACTCTTCTGAAAACTAGTTTTATCAAGGTGGCTAGATACGTGCACGCGATAGTAGCCTGATGAAGAATATCGGGAAGCGTACGTTTGCCGAACCTGTCTTATTGATTCTATACTTATATAAGGTGACCAAAAAATACACCACACAAACAACTGAGCTAACGTTGTGCGACTGCGGTCACAATTTTCTTCCGAAGCCTGATTGGAAAGTTATTGTGCTTTTTTTCTTGAAAACATAGACCATGCAATACGTTCGTTCATGCGGATAGGGTTTCATTTTGGACATTTCTATGAACTGAAGTGGAACCGACAAAGACAAGGGAGGCTGAAATTAACCTTTTTACTTTATTAGCCGTCATCAGTCACTCATATCCAATCTCAGGTGTGGATCGCCCGAGATTCGGACCCGCGACCCCTCGGTCATGGAGTGTAACAATGTGCCATTGAGCAACGGGTCCGTTATTTTTGTCGGTTGCGACGGAGAATATGATGAAAGTATGGTGCGTAAGTCACCGTTCGTGAGCATGTTCTGTTGTGGAATACACGGTGGCCATCTTCGAAACTGACGGTCCAACTGACGGGATTGTGGTTTTGCTAAATTTTGATGTAATCATAGCTATTTGGGTTGACTTTGAAAAAATTATAAATTACAGAATCCTCTTAACCTGCAACTATATCGGAAAGCTCGGCTGACCAGGGAACTATCAGTTCTTCGATAGCCACTAGGTGGTGAAACCCGTTTGCTGGAGAATGCATCAGCGCGGAGTTTCGGCTGTCAGCCGTATCGATCGTGAATTTCACCTCAACTCCACCACATACAGTAGGTGACAAATCTCATGTAGTCCAAGGATTATACGAGAAAATCCCTGGTACTTAAAAGTTACCCAAGCTATGTTCCTAAAATTATCAATGACTAAATGTAAACACCCTAGTAAAAAGACGACGTATTGTAGTCTATCAAGTCAAATTATGTGGTAAAGTAAAAGTGTTTGTTTAGGATAACAGAAATATCCAAAAAAGCGAACAGGCAGGGTTATTAAGAAAACTGAAGTTTTAAATGTAAAGGTAGTCTGTTCATGCAATTCACCGAGGGAATAAATTAGCACAAGTAGAATTACGCTTAAAAATAGTGCATTGGTGAAATATTCGGACAAGTATGCTTCCACGTTTTGCGTAATATAAAGTATTGTATATTGCGCACTCAAAACAGCACTGGAACGCAGAGAGAACATGGCACACAAAAATGTCCAGTTGTTTCTTTATTTCTATCCTCCTGCCGATTCGCTGGACTAATTCGTGCAGATTTTCACTTGACTGTGCATTTTGTGCCTTAAGTTAACCCAAGGAACAAAGTAAACAACCTCAAATGTTTATTAAGAAGGTTTGGCAGATTTGGTTAATTTAGTTAACCCAATTGTGAAAAAACCCGCGGCATTTGGCGGGATTCGAGCCCGCATAGGATAGAAGGCCTTCTAAGCAAGCCAACGCTCTGCCTACTTGAGCTACGAATACCACGCTTCACACCGTGAGTTTAATCTGCCAAACCTCCTTCATAATTAAGTCAGCCTAGTAGTAATTCTGGTGGATTCTAGATGATTACTTAGGAAATCCTGCATGGGCAGTCAACTTGCTCTCCCGTATTGGGGGATTCCATACGAACGGCAAAGTTGGGCAGGTAATATCGATCCAAATGTGTTAAAATCCCCCAAACAAATTTTGATTTTCACATTTCATCGGATATACAATATAATGTACGTCCTGCATCGGCAGTTGCAGTGTTTTATCGATGATATGCACCCTGTGCCTCACGGTATGCTATTTGCAGGGTGGTGACTTGTGCGAGAATTGGTTTGTAGTGAGGCAGACTTTCGCAGCATCTAACGCACTTTCCGCCCCTCCGCACCCACCAGGCTCTGATGGCAAGACAATTTCAAGGTATTATATACATACAGTAGTCGCAAAAGATCACGCAACATGTCGATATATGGGAAGATTGATACTCTTTCACTAATCGGCATTGACTCACGTTGTGATACTGATTAT